GCTTGTGGCAGGCCTCTGCTGCAAGATGGCCTCACCATCTGGTTTGTTTTGTTCTGTTTTTGCAGTACTGGGGAGTGAATCTAGGTCCTTCACATTGAGCTACATCCCCAGTCTTTTTTTTTTTTTTTTTGTACTGGGGATTGAACTCAGGTCCTTGTGCTTGCGCAGTAGGTAGTGAAACCACTGAGCTAAATCCCTGGCCCCCCCAGCCTATTTTTTATTTTGAGACAGGGTCTGGCTAAATTGAGGTTGGGTCTGAAATTGTGATCCTCCTGCCTCAAGACTCAGGGCTGGGATTACAGGTGTGTGCCACCACACCTGGCTTCTGGTTATATTTTTTGTTTGCTTTTTTTTGGGGGGGGGAGGACTGAAAATGACAGTATTAACATAGATAGACTTTTTTTTTCAATTTTTGAGACAGGGTCATAGTATTAGTTCAGGCTGGCTTCAAACTCGTGGCAATCCTGCTTCAGCCTCCCAAATGCTGGGATTATAGGTGTGTGCCCCCACATCCAGCTGGGTTTTCATATTCTTGAACCCTTTCTGTTAGCATTTATTATGCTCCTTTATTTGCTTTCCTACTGGTAGTCTCATTCTGCCTCATTGCTTATTCTGAGGCTTGTAGTTATACTACGTGTATGTGTTTTTTATATATAGGGTTTTTTTTGCTGTTACTGGAGTTAGAACTCAGGTCCTAGAGCATGCTAGGCAAGTGCTCTATCACTGAGCTATACCCCCAGCCTCATTTCTTTCTATTTGGTACTGGGGATCGAACTCAGGACCTTGCTCTTGCAAGGCAGGCACAGTGCCACTGAGCTAAATCCTGTCCCCCCCCAGCCCTCATTTCTTAAACTGAGAAATAAATAAGTTTGAAGGAAATGTGTAATCAACATGTAACTTAATCATGTTAATTTAAGTAAATGTTTAAACCATAAAACTGTCTGCTCCCAATTTTAATCCTTTGAAAGCTTCTCTCACTTTCCACCAGTTATTAGGGCATACTGTGCTGGATAATTGAACATTTACTGAGCCCTGTGTGCTAGACAGTGTGGTGTAATAAGAGATGAGCTCTAAATTCAGACTTACATTTGAATTTTAGACTTGTTGCATTAGGTCAAGCTGTTCTTTAACCTCCTGAGGCTAACTTTTCACAGCACCTGCCACGTGCTAGGCACTCAGTGAGTGTTACATCATCCATGCCTCACATCCAGTCCACTGATACCCCAGCCTTCTGAGGCTACATGTTTTTATTAGGTTTTTTTTTTTTTTTTGGTATCGGGGATCGAACTTGGGACCTCATGCTTTCAAGGCAGTGGTAGAACCACTGAGCTAAATCCCTGGCCCTTAGATATTTTTCTTAAACAGACATGAAACCAATAATTGTAATACCTGGTGAGAACTATTATAATAGAAATGTGAACAGACTGTTGTTGGGTACCCAGAAGGAACCACTCATACTTCTTTGGAGAATCAGAAGAGATACTAGGTTTTTATAATCTCTTTGAGGACAGGAGTAGTGACTTTTGTATTCCTAAGTGTTGCACATATAGAAAGTGCTCGAGAAATGTTTATGGAATTGTATGTCTTAACTTTTTTATCTTTAGTGTGTGACTTTCTTGGAGAGAAGATTGCATCTGTTTTGGGCATCAGCACCCCAAAATACCAGTATGCCATTGATGAGTATTACCGGATGAAGAAGGAGGTGTGTCTCCTTTTTGTATTTTCTTGATTCAACTTGTTTGGCTGTAGATTTAGTGGATTGGATAATGAGCATATGCATCCTCTAGCTGCCCAAATAGGGGTGGGATCAAACCCAGTGTCTTGAGGATGCTAGGCAAGCACTCTACCACTGAAGATAGCTCTTTTAGTTTATCAAGATAAAATATATTTTAGAATCCTTTAAAACTGGAATTTCTGGAGGGTAAAAAAATGAAGATGTGTTATGTATGTGTACCAATTCCCTGCAATGAATGTAATCAACATGTGCAGCAAACATACTAATAAATGTAAAAATCCCTGGAATTTCCTTAAGATCCATATACAAAGCTAAGCTCAGTTTTGTTGTTAGTGCAATGTGAGGTGCCTTGCATGTGTTAATCTTCATACATCTCCCTTTTTCTAAGATGAAGAAATAAGACAAAGGCACTGTATGTGGACGTGGAGTGCATTTGATGTGCCTGAAGTTTATAAGAACTAAAAACATACACATGCCCACTATTAAGGCACAAAGATGGGAGAGGGCCATTAATGTCCAAAGTAGTAGTGAGGTTTTCAGATAGGGTGAAAGGAGATGAGACTCAAAGTAAAAAAGCTTTGATGCTTAAGAATCAAAGGACCTGACTTCAAAGTCTGGCTCTGCTACTTCTAACTTTACTTTCCTCTTCAAATAACTGCATATCTATGCTGAGGTTGTGCTAAAGATTAAATGAGTTAATATGTAAAATGATTAGAACAACATCTAGTATATATTAACGAACACACAATAGATACTAGAATCTTATTTTCTTTCAGACAAATTAAGGGAAGCAGTTCAGGCAGAGTGCAGGGAGGTGAAAATATGTTGTGTGTTCAGAGAAATAGCAAGAATAGCACTTTGCCCTGAAGTAGTGGCCGGAGATGAGTTTGGAAAGGTCATCTGACTTTGTTTCTTGTGTGATTTCAAACATGTTTTATGAGAAAATGAGTATTTTTAATACCACAAGCCTTGTTTAGAACTTCATTACCTCAGTTGGACTATAATAGCCACCTAAATGTTCTGTCTTAATTCTGAGTCTCCTGAGGGTTTACTCACTCTGAAATAACTATCTACATAAAAGGGTTCAATACAAATATCTCTAGCCAGGGATTTAGCTCAGTGGTGCCACCACCTGTCTTGCAAGCGCAAGGTCCTGAGTTCCATCCCTGGTACCAAAAAAAAAAAAAGGTCACTCTGCCAATTGATTAGTTCCAAAACTAGAAATTATTCATTCCAAATCCCTTTAGTGCTTATTTCTTTCTTACTATACTTTACATGTCTCTATTTACATTATAGGGTTCAATACAGGTGTCAGTCTACTGATTTGGGCGGCGGGGGGGGGATCGAACTCAGGACCTTGCAGTTGCAAGGCAGGCATGGTGCCACTGAGCTAAGTCCCCGGCCACTTTACCAGTTTATTAGTTCTCTAACTAGAAATTATTCATTCTATAACTCTTTAGTGCTTATTTCTTTGTTTTACTACTCTTTTTACATGTCTTAACTTCCTACTGGATTGTAAACTTGAGGGCAAAGATCCCTAGACAGGAAGTACATTAGCTGCTTATAGGAAAAGTAACCATGCTGTACCATTTAATGAATGAAACAACCTATTCAATCGAATAGGCTGACACCTTATAATTGAAGTGACATAGTAATAGCTCATTTTAAAATTAAGATTAGGGTTAATGTGAAAAAAATATATAGTCTTTATCAAAGTTTATTCGGGTCTCATTTAAGCTAATTACACTGGACTATGTTTAAAAATAACTTCACTTTCTTTGACCCTTTATAATAGTTACTGTTTTGAAAACAGGGAAAGGGGAAGTATGTATTAGTTTAGATCAGATGAAGCCAGGTGTGGTTGTGCACATCTGTATTCCCAGCACTGGGGAGGCTGAGGCAAGAGGAGAATGTTTCAAAAACCAAAACAACAACAACAAAAATTAGACCAAATGGACATGGCACTAGTATTTTAGTTAAAAAAAAAAAATTATAACTTAATCATGCTAATTTAAATACAGGTTTAAACTTAAAACTTTCCTTCTTCCAATTTTAGCTCCTTCGGTGCTTCTGTTACTTTTTGATTAGGGCAAACTGAATAATTACTATTTGGATATAATATTTCAACTACTGATGTCCACTTTTTAGGAAGAAGAAGAAGAAGAAGAAAACAGGATGTCTGAAGAAGCAGAAAGACAATTCCATCAGAGTAAGACACAGGCTAATTGCACTGTTCAGACAGATCAACCAGAAACAGTGGTATCCACTTCGTTTGTGAATCTTAATTTTGAAATGGAGGAAGACTGTGAAGTACTTACAGAAGGCAAACAAAGTCCAGGCTCTGTTCCACCATAGAATGAAATGACTATCAGACTTCGAATGCTAAATTTTTTTTGTACCAGGAACTTTCACATTCTCTATTCAGTGGAACTTAAAACAATTATTTATATTTTAAATTATTAACTTATCTGGAAAGGAAAAGTTTCTTCATTGTTAGGCTTAGTAAAAGTTGGGTCTGAAGTTTGGATATTTCTACTCTGCTTTCACTGTGTATTGAATTAGTGCTTTAGCTTTTCTTTTTTGGGGGTTAGTGCTGGGGATCAAACCCAGGGCATGTAAGCAGGCACTTTACCCCTGAGCTACACCCTCAGGCCAATGTTTTGATTTTAAAATGATCCTTACAAAATTAAGGCCTTAATAAATTAAGAAGAGTTGTATTAGCAAGCTCATCTGTTATCTGTGCATCTGTAAAGAGAAAAAAGTAAACTGTTGATTCAAGCTAACTGGAGCCAGTAATCCTGTAATTTCAGATTAAAATGAAAGATTCCCCTCTTACATTTTCTCATGTCATGCCTTACATTTTAAGCTTTACATTTAATATATGTTAATTTCCACTAAGGATGGTTCACTGAATGTGTAATAAAATGAGCATGATGGAAGCGCTTTTTGAGTTCATTGAGAATAGCTATTTTATGGAGAAGTGTTTATTACACCAATATTAATATGGGTTTCCATTTTTTAATGCAAGTCATTTAATCTTGTATTCTTTTTCAGTAGTTATTAAAATTAATAAGCTTTGATCATAAAGTTAACACTAGTTGTGGAGTAAATTAATGTAACATCTGATTCTGTCTGATTCTAGGCATCTTGCTTCTATCATTCATTCAGCCCTTAAAGACTCCTAGAGCTGGGGGTGAGGAGCTGGGAGACAGATATAGATTTAACTATCAAGAGCTATTAAATATTGTACAAGGAATAATAGTAACAATAAAATTAATTACTTGTCTTTCACCATTTTGAAGTGGCAACGGTAAGAAGGGCAGTTTACTTAAACCAGGCTGGCCATTTCTCTACCTACTTGGTTATTTGTAAACTTTACAAATTTAGGCCCGAGATTTAGCTCAGTGGTTCTGCCACCTGCTCCGCAGGCGCAAGGACCCAAGTTTGATCTCCGGTACCAAAAAACAACAACAAATTTATATACTAAGAAGCTAATTTGAAAATATCCCTAAATATGTGTACAGAACCTTGAGATGTTTACAAATGTGGATAAAAAGAATGTGTTGGAATACTGTAGAAATGCTGATCTTAAAAGCTTTTTCATAGAACTGGGGATATAGCTCAGTGGTGGAGCACTTATCTGGCATGTGCATGGCCCTAGGTTCAACACCAGTACTAAAAACACCCAAACCAAAACAACACTGTAAGAGCTTTTAGAAACTGTTATGTTAACAGCTTTCTAAACAACATTTAAGCTTTCAGTCATAAACTTATGTAAAATACAGCTTAAAAGAAACTTAAAATACATACAGTGGGCCTATTGTGGAAGTCAATAAACATGAATTAAATTTTTAATTGAAGCTCAAGTTTTTCAACTGATAGTTGAAAGATGAAATTGAGAGCTGAAGTTCTTTGAAGTTCTTTAACAAATTTGAAGAATTTAGGAAAGATAAACTCTTCTTAGGAGTCTTTAGTTATGTGGATTCATGCTATGGTGGTTCATAGTATGTGGTCATCTTTTTATTCATGGGTATAAACTATGTAACTTAGTGATTAACAATCTTGAGATAATGTAGTTAATGTCACCATAAATTATACTTTACTAACAGCTCTAAAGCATGCTAGTCCAACTTCTTCCCATTTGTTTTTAACTTTGAGATAGCATCTTTAGCTCAGCTATTTAGTTATTAATGAGTGATTCTACTACCTAAGAGTTTACCTAGAAACCTTTCTGATTGTAGAAGATAGTGACTTATGAAGGTTTTATGTTTTTTGAATTTTATTTGCACCACTTGTCCAATAGTGGCCAGTTTGTAATGTTTAAATAGTTATTCGTTGTGCCTTAAATTTTTATACTTTTTTGTTTATACAAGCTATAAAATTTCTCATAAATGCATTAAATGTTTTGTGTCATTTTGAGCCTGTAATACCTTTTCCTACTTTCCAAACCTTTGAAGAATTATTCCCTCTGAAGCACAGTTCATGACACTCTTTCTTCTCATAAAAACTAAGAACAACAGTTAATATAAAGGAGCCTTTACACTGAGTTAACAAATTCTCTAACAAAAGAAGGTATAGTTTTATAATGTATCTCTGATACTGGTTAGTAAAGCTAGAAAAATTTTTATACTATGACTTTACTGAATGGCTGTCAGAAATATTCCATGAAAACTTCCTTTATCTCTAAAGATTATACAGATTAAAATTGAACACTCTCTACCTACAGCAAACCACATCTGTCATATTTGAGCTAAACAGAACCAGAACTTACCTCTTAAAAAGCATTATTTGGTCTTTTTACTCTCAAACTACTGCACCCAAAATTGCAATAATCACAATATTTTGCTTATGAAGTGTTTTATTTAGACCATTTCTAAGGATTCTGCTTCAAAGGTTTCATATGCAGCATTCAAGCATCTTAATGAAGACAGTCTAGTCTTCCAGAGATCAGGTATCATCAAGGTCAGCAGAGTTCTCGTCATTTGCAACAAGGGCTTCTCTGTTCTCATAAGTCCAGAAGCCATTCAGATCAATTAGAATGGTAGTGACTGTGTCTCCTTGATTACTGTTGATTAAATCCTGGAGAGAAATTTTCAAAGGATCCTTTGGCTTTACCATATCAAAGATTTCATCCTATAAGACAGGAAAAATAGCAATGAACTGTGACTCACTTAATTCCTATTATATAGTGATCTAAAATTCAGGCCTGACACTTTATGTAAAATTTTTTGTTCTTTCTTTCTTTTCTATTTAATAAGCAATTGCCTTTTTTTTTTTGGTACCGGGGATCGAACTCCAGTCCTTGTGCTTTCGAGGCAAGTGGCAGAACCACTGAGCTAAATCCCCAGCCCTAGCAATCTCCTTTTATCTACTTACAACAAGAGTTTTACTGGGAGATTCCTTAGCTATATGATGACTATGCCTTACTTTACAGATGAAGAAAATGGAGGCTCAGAGTTTAATCCAAGCTACATAGCTATTTAGTAGCTGAACTATCTAATGCAGTGTTCTCTGAATATATATTAACTCTTTGCATTTTCCTATTGTCTTCTAATTGGTGGTAGACATTTTCATTTAATTTTTTTTGCCCCAGTCTTGGGTATCAAACCCCCAGGCAAGCAATCTACTACTGAACTATATATGTCTTCCCTTGAGTTTAATTTAAGTTAAAACTTAGCTCAGTTAAAGTAAAAATTTAAATGTTTCAGAGATAATGAGAAAATACTTCCAATGCTGAAATCAACTTTTTATTCTAGATCTAGGAGGGGAAGGTGATGGGAGTCTAGTAGTAAATAATTAGTCATCCAGGGATGATGCGAATTGTGCTTAAACTCAGAGAAATTCATAGAAGAATCTGTCTGTGTGTCTCTCTCTGGTGGTCCTAGGAACTGAACCCAGGGCTTCTCACTGAGCTACAATGTTGGCTCTCCTTGCCTCAGCTTCTCACAATGCTGGGATTACAGGCATGCGCCACCATTCCCGGCAGAAACTTCTGTTACAAAGTGTACAATATAAATATTTCTGAGGAATTAGCTCACACTTCTAATCTTTTTGTAGTAAAATTACTCAAGAATGTTCCTTAACATTTAAGGAGACAAAATATATTTTTAAAAGATTAAAATAATTCAGATACATAAGATGCAGGAACTTTAAATCTATGTTTGCTCTTTTTCTAGATTGAGTGTAGCTGAAAATTGCTTGTTAGATTTGCACATTGCAAAGTTTCAGATCGACTTCATTTATATTAAACTAAAATAGCCCTTTATCTTAACTGGACAGGGTATTATGTTATTCAGCTTGAACAAATACTGTATGTACTGGACATTTTCATAACTGGTGAGGCTGATTACTACGTAGCAGTATGTGTTTCAAATAGTGATGGTTTTCATATTGTAGGACTGTTACCTCCTAAACTTAATACAGTATATTAAAGCAAACAGGCTTTTTGAGGTACCATACTTAAAAAGTTCTTGAACCTAAGTAGTAGTTTCCAAGTTAAAAACTCAGTTTTCAGTAGAACACCATCAAAGAACACAGGCTAAACTGATTCTCTTAACTTTCGTTTAAAATGAATGAATGTTTCCTAGAGAAGACAAAGCTGACAATGTTAAAAGTATAAACTATATAAATTAATCACGACTCCAAATGTGTCTCATTAAATATCAGTTCAGGAGAAATAATAACAAATACTTGACTGGGAATAGTATTTTATAGTTCATATGTTTCTTTCATGTATAATTTCGTATAATACAAATGATTATCTAGCATTACCAATGGTAATAGTGGTCTGGTTACTGTATATAAATTAAAGAAAAAGGTGACCTTAACATCTTGAAATGAGACAGGATCTTGTCCGTGGATTTTCATAAGTTCCTGTATTGCCTGTATTTAGTGGAAATAAATTTTTAAATAAAAAATGATATTAATAATATCCCCCCTCTTGTCCCACAGCCCTCTTCTAGTTCCATTTCTTTCCCATTAGACCACAGGGCTCATCTTGACCTCTACTGCCAATCAACTTTCTTGGCCTTGTTTCACATCCAATCAGTAAAAACAATACACTGGCTCAGTGTAACTACTGACCTCTGTATGATGAATGGTATCATTATGTATATCTAAAATATACCAATAAAATAAACTGAAAAAAAAAAATAAACAGCTTAGTCTGTTTGATGACATGGATCTTTAGCAAAACAAACCAAAAATATAAAAACCACTGACCTCTGTACATCTACACTTTAGCTACTGAGAACTTCAGGGGAAAAAAAAAAAAGACCATAGTTTGCTGCTGCTATCCAGGAATATTCTCTAAACTAGCAATTATTCTATGGCCTACTCCTTTTACTTTCTATGGATACTGTTCACACCTTCACCATTCTCTAAGACGCCCTACCTACCACCTCCCCACCTTACACTTTACCCCTTCTACTTCTACTTAGAAAAACAAGGAATTCTTTCAAACTCTTCTTTTTTATAAACAACAACAGACTGAAGAAACTGTTACTTAGCTGGACTAAAATACTTTAGGTGAGAGTCATTCCCTGAGAAATGTAAAGCTTAAACCTCTTTACTAAATAGTCAACTAAATATGCTCCAAATACCTACTCTGCATGTGGTGCCACTGATATCCATGTATCCCCAGGGGATCTCTGAAGGAGGGAAGAATCTCGGGGTATACTCTCAATATGGTAGTGGACAGATGTATGTGGTAGGGTCACCATCCTGGCTCAGTTCTATTGTAGGGATTGATACACAGTAGCTCTACAAACAGCTCAGGATTATGGGGCTCAGCACCATAAACTTTTTACCTTGGCCCATAAAACCAAGCCTAAATAAACTTTGGTAAAGGAGATTCATGCATGAAATATTTTAAAACTATTTTTTAAACAAAATGTAACATTCTAAGACTGAATTTTCATTTAATAGGTTTGTCTAAAATGGGTGTATCTCTATGATGCATTGGTATTATCCTCAGATTAACCATTGATATAATTTATAACATTCAATTATTTTTTTCTTTTTGGTACCAGGGATAGAACTTAGGACCTTGTGTTTGGAAGGCAGGCAGCGGGACCACTGAGCTAAATCCCCTGTCTTATAACATTCAATTTTTAATATTTTTTCATTTTCACTGTTGGGTGCAGAACCAGACTCTTGTGGAAACTAGACAAACTCTCTACCACCAAGTACACTTCCAGCCCTACGTTCAAGTTTTAAAAAATGTATTATTCTAGGGTCCGAGGATTAGCTCAGCAGTTCTGCCACCTGCCTTGAGCGCAAGGTCAAGAGTTCGATCCCTGGTACCAAAATAAAAAAGTATTCTAATCCTAGAATTGTACTTTATCTTTTTAATATTTGCTGTTATTACTGCCTAAAAGGTTAAAATGGAAAGTCTTCTAGGAAATTTAACATGAAATTATAAAATATACACTATGAAATTCATTAGGATGAATTCAGAGACCAGTTATTTAAACAGTACCAAAACTTTTTTTGAGACAGGGTCTCATTAATTGCAACCTTGAACTTGCAATTCTGTCTTGGCCTCCTAGGTGCTGAAAGTACAGGCATGTGCTACCACACTGTCAAGAGTACCTAAAACTTTTTAAATGGAAACAAAAAAGTTTCTGAGGGAAATTATTTTGATAAAGATGTGGAAGTGTCATTTGTATTGGTTTAAAAATATCTGAGCTGTAAATGCTGGTCCATGCCTGTCATTATAGCACTTGGGTGGCTGAGGCAAAAGGACTGTAAGTTCCAGGCCAGTGTGGACCACATGGCAAGAACCTGTCCCCAAAAACTAAAACCAAAACCCTCCTACTGTTGATTTTCACCATATATAAATCACAAGGTCTTCTAAAAACTAGTTATGAAAATACAGTGACAGAGTAGAACACTACTCTACAAAATTATTCCATCAAGTGGAAAAGTTAACATTCAAATTAAGGAATCATGTGTGACAAGGGCAGAATTTCCTCCTTTTGCACTTGTTGGAGCCAAATATTTCTCAGATCCAGTCAGATTCCAGGTCAGAGCTCACCATTATTCTCTGAGATCTGCTAAGGCTCAAAAGAAACACCTCAGCAAACTTTCCTTCCATGCAGCACACAGCTGTAGCCAGCTTTTAAAAAAACCTTAACAATGTAGCAACCAAACAAAAAATCTGTAACAACTAAAATCTGTAAAACTTTCCTGGAAGACAGCCACCTTTTTTGAAAGGTAGTTTCCAAAAAACTATCCCCTCAAATGGTATGACATAGCTTAAGGAAAAATACAAATCAGACTTACCCTAAAGAAATAATTAAGGGAAAAGACATTGAGATACCCCTTGTTCTCAATATCAAGCAGTTTGAAGATATATTGCAAAGCTGCAGGTTCCTTCCTGTTTTCTAGTGCAAGGACAAAGTCCAAGTAGGTCTTGTAGTCCTACAGAAAAGAAAATGATGTTCAATAAAGACCTTAACTGAAAATAACTTTTCACGTGAGTACCTGATGATCTGAAGTAATTTTGCAATCAAGGATGGCAAATTGTTTTAATATGAAATGAGAAATCCATATGTACATTTAATGTTGGTTTCTAGAAATTCTAATTAGTCAATCTGCAAAGGAGAATTTTGGGGATATAGCTCATTTTCTTAAGAGATCTGCTATGTTAAAGAACTTCTGGGCTGAGGATTTAGCTCGGGGCGCTATGCCTGCCTTGTAAATCCAGGGTCCTGAGTTTGATCCCCAATACCAGAAAAAAAACCCAACTTTCTTCATTGTACTTTTGAAATACATAAGATAGTGAGTAAACTATTGTACAATACCTTTAAATTTATATTTTCATTTCAGTGTGGTTATTTTGAAAAAGAATCTTTTATCTGGAATAGAATAGTATTTAAATTGTATTTTGTAATATAGCCAATCCTCCATATCTATGGGTTCCACATCATTCAACTGTGGATTGAAAATACACAAGGAGGGCCGGGGATTTAGATCAATGGCACTATGCCTGCCTTGCAAGCACAAGGTCCTGAGTTCGATCCCTGGTACCAAAAAAAACCCCCCAAAACACAAGGATCCTTTAATTCCAGGTGATCCTCCTGCCTCTGCCTCCTGAGTGCTGGGATTACAGCTGTGCACAACCACACCTGGTACACATTTGGTTTTGGTGCTGGAGACAGAACCTTGGCCCCACACATACTAAGCAGGTGCTTTACCACTGAGCTGCACCCCAACCCTGCATCGGCCAGTTCTTAAGCCAAGAAATGTACGGTCCTAGGGGGAAGAAGGGATGTGGAAGACAAATAGAACAGCAACAAAAACTGTTACTTTCTGTGATCTTATGAGAGGCCTCAGATCTCTTTAGCATCCTTTACTAACACCTTACACCACTGGATCTCATTACCCCCTGTATTTGCCTTTTTCTTTTTTTGGTACCGGGGATCAAACTTGGGACCTTCCGCTTTCAAGGCAGGCGGCAGAACCACTGAGCTAAATCCCCGGCCCTGAATTTGCCTTTTTACAGCTTATTTTGTAACACCTCCATAATTATCCTTAAAAGCCATAGCTCGATTAAAAAAAAAAAAAAAAAGAAAAATATATGGGGAAAAATTGCATCTGTACTGAACAGGGATGGAGTGTTTTTCTTGTCATTACTCCTTAACCAACACAGTGTAACTACACAGCACTTACACTGTGTTATATTAGGCAGTCTCAGGAATCTAGAGATTTAGTAAAGTACACCAGAAGGAACTGCTGGTTTTATGCAGATACAGCATATATAAGGGACTTGAGAACACCTCCAGATTTTGGTGTTGCTTCGGGTCCTGGAACCTTTCTGTAAGTTTTTAAAAATCAGACGATTTTCAGTAAGAAAATTCTCTTCTCATAAAAAAAGAAGAAAGCTAGACATAAAATGAGAGATTTTCACTTAGAAAAACTTAGGAAAAGAGTTTGTAGGCAAAGATTAAGAATGCCTCAAAAAAAAAGAATGCCTCCCTGCCTGAACTGCAGCATAAAGAGTTAAGTGCAGCTTCAGCCTGGTCTAGCTCCACCCACAGCTGTGGCCTCTGAATTTTTTATTCACCAGAAGCCATCAGGATGCTACAAGCTCCTCATTGTCTAAAGTTAACAGCTGTGGGAGTCACAAAGTGGAGTTTCTATCCCTTTCCCTCCTCTTTGCCTTTGCCTTTGGCCAACAATGATATTATTCAGCACACTGCTATTGAAGCTAAATGATAAAATATAAAACCCCATTCTTGCCTGACTGTATGACTATTTCTTAGGCATCACTGGTTTGGAAAATTCATCATGTCATTTACTTGTTTTATTTATTCACTTATTTTGTTTTTTTGAGATAGGGTCTCACTATGTAGCCCAGGCTGGCCTTGAACTCGCAGCAAACCTCTTGCCTGAGTCTCCCAACCGTTGGGATTACAGGTATGTCCCACCATGTCTTTTTTAACAGCAAAAATGGTAATTTCAAAACTTATTTAAATTTAAGTATTTTGAGAACATAAAGGAAACAGTATCTACTTGCATACCCCCAACTATATAAATCTAAGCTATAAATGATTTCTAAAAGTACATTATCAGATTCCCAAGGGTTTTTTGTTGGGTTTTTTTGCTTTTTAGGACAGGGTCTCATTATGTAGTTCAGGCTGGCCTTAAACTCACTATGTAGCCCAGGATGGTCTCGAACTCACAGCAATCCTCTTGCCTCAGCCTCCTAAGTGCTGGGATTATAGGTGTGCACCACCACACCTGGTATATTCCTCCCAAGTATTTTGAGAAGCAAACAGACAATTGCAAGTTAGTTATCCTCAGCTACTAGTATAGACAGAGTAATTCAACCTGGTTCTGAGATTTAAATCATTTCAATATGGTACTCTGTCAGACTTCGTAATTTTTATCATATGCAAATAGCCAACAGAACTTACTAATTTTTCAGATTTTTCTACTAGTTCACATCCTATACACTAGGTACACTGACAGTGATATAAACATTAAAATTTTCTGTTTGCTCTGAGCTCATAACAGTGTTTTTAACTGAATTTAATATGAAGTGATTTAACTGGTTCATACTTTTTTAACATACTGTGGCACACTGAAAATAATGCTGAATTACATCAAAAAGGGTATGTGGGGCCCAGGGATTTAGCTCAGTTGTTCCTCCGCCTGCTTTGCAAGTGCAAGGTCCCCAGTTTGATCCCCGGTACCAAAAAAAACAAAAGGGTATGTGGAAACAGTAGGATCCTGAATTTTAAAACTTTTCAGCAGGGTTAAACAAATACCATTTCTCCATCATAAGTGAGACACTCCTGGAAAACACGGTCTAAGAAGACATTGGTCATAGTTGCTGTTCCGTAGCGGGAGAGCTCTTCTTTACTGAGCATGCCATTGTGATCTTTATCAAGATTCAAATACTGGCCTTGGGAAGAAAGTAAAAAGACAGTTATGACCAAAACATTTTAAATTAAGAGACAAAAGATTGGACATTAATAAAGTATTCTTTTTATTCTTTAGTATTTTGAAGTGGCTTATTTATAGTAACATCACCTATCCTTGAAATCTTTTTTTTTTTTTTTTGGTACTGGGGATCGAACTCAGGTCTTTGTGCTTGCGTAGGAGGCGGCAAAACCACTGAGCTAAATCCCGGGCTATCCTTGAAATCTTGATTATAACAACCATTAAGCTAGAACCAAAGGAAGTCCATCTTGAAGGCTGTGGCCTTTGGGCTATTTAATTTACATTTCTGTTTTCGGTTTGCAAACTTTTTGGAACATCTAGGTAGAAGAAAAGAGGCCAACAAAAAGCACTGAAATGCCATTAACTTGAAACTAAGAGATCATGGATCCCAAAATGAGTCACAAAACCACCAACAGGATAAAAGCAGCAGACTAATGAAACTCAGTAAAAGGCAAATAAATCCCTAGAACACCTCCGTTATCCCAAGAACAGCCTTTTATCACAAAGCAAGACCACAGGTTCATAAATGTTCATAAATGATGCTACAGTCAACAAGAAAAGATCAAATTACATTTGTCTGTTCTACTGAAAAGAAAGTGTAGTAACTAAAAGTTCAAATGTTAGTATTGAAATAAGTAAATTTAGGGCTGGGGATTTAGCTCAGTTGTTCTGCCGCCTGCCTCACAAGCGCAAGGACCCGAGTTTGATCCCCAAGTACTAAAAAAAAAAAGAGTTTGAAATAAGTAAATTTAAGTGATCTAGAATACTAGATCTTGAAGCCATAGAATTTTTTTGGTAGCGCTGGAGATTAAACCCAAGACCTTCACTGAGCTACATCACCAGCCTGAGAATACTTTGGTCTTAAGGTAAAATAGCCTCATATAAAATTATCCTCTGACTTGCACACGGTGGTGCATGGCTGTCATCCCAGCACTTTGGGAAGCTGAGGCAAGAGGATCACAAGTTTGAGTCTCCTGAGATAGTGAGACTCTATCTCAAACAATTAAAAAAAAAAGAGCTGGGGAATGTACCTCAGTGTGAAGGCCCTGGATTCAATCCCCAGTACCTCCCACCAAACAAATACCACCACCAACAAAACTGACCTCTGGATACCAATTAACTGAAGAATGGATAATTCAATTTTAACAGTATCATGGTAACATACCATAAACTCTTAAGGCAGAAGGAGCAGAAAACCAATTTGTCTCTTGACTCTCCTTGGACAATTCTTCATCTCTTAGCTAAAGGAACACAGACATAATTAGAAGGCAGCAACTATCACGTGATATAATTAAGTAGCTTAAAGACATATTTACCTCCAATAAATCATCCAGGAAACTGCATGCTAAAATATCTTGAATTTTTATCTTCCCTTTGAAAAAGTAAACACAATTACTTCATTTCTTTTTAAGAACAACTTAATCTTTAAAGGTGTTATTTTACAAAATCACACAGCTAATATTTTAAACCTTCTAGCTCTCATGCCCTAAAGTTCTTATTACATATTGTTATGAAGAATCAACATTTAAGCTAAAGCAGGAGGATCACATGTTTGAGCCTAGCCTGGGCAACTTAGCAAGACCATCTTCCAAAATAAAAAAGAGGCTGGGAACATAGCTCAGTGTGAAAGACCTTGGTTCAATCTCCAATACCAAGAAAGAAAGAAAAAAACAAAAAAAGGAACACTTAAATTAGAGCTTTACTTGTACAAGTGTATCTACTTTTTATACTCCCAACCATACAGACCTAAGTGGTAAATTCTTTCTAAAATCACACTATCAGATTCCCATAAAAGTTGTGAATTACTTGTGAATAGAGATATAACACTGCTAGTTAAAAAAAAACAACCCCAAAACCAAGGGGACTATTCTCTATTTTTCTTTGGCAGGTTCTGGAATAGGTAGCATAAGTGTGATTAAGAGCAGATGGAGGGCTGGGGATTTAGCTCAGTGGTTTCGCTGCCTGCCTTGCAAGCCCAAGGACCGGTGTTCGATCCCCGGTAACAACAACAAAAAAGAGCAGATGGAAGTTTGATTGCTGCTTCTACATATGTTATCTAGCTAAGTCTCGGAGGCCTTATCCATAAAATGTGGATAATAGTAGCTTCTTTATCGGGCTTTAAGAAAATGAAAGAATCTGTGTAAAATTCTTAGCATAGTGCCTTATACATAATAAGCAGTCAAAACAGCTGTTATTATTTTGTAAAATTTCAAAAAGAAAAAATGTGTATGTGCCTACAGCTAAGGAAGCTTTAAAAAGATTATCCAGGTGTTGTCACACATGCCTGTAATCATAGCACTTGCGAGGATCAGGCAGGCCAGCCTGGGCTACATAGTGAGTTCAAGGTCAACCTAAACTACACTGTCTCAAAAAAAATAAATGGATAAATAGAAAACCATCACCTACAGCTGGATTTTTCAAGGAAAGAAAGAGAATCAAAGATTCTGATTTGAGTCTTCTCTGTCCAAGTTACATGTATTTAAGTCTGGGCAGGTTAAAACTGTTGACAAAGGATACTGTTAGTGAGGCTAGGGTCAAGAGTTAATGGGAGGGCCAGGGATTTAGCTCAGTGGTTCTGCCGTCTGCCTTGAAAGAGCAAGGTCTCGAGTTCCATCCCCGGTACCAAAAAAAAAAAAGTTAACAGGAGAAAGAAAAATGTCACTGCTAAATGGCTCTCAGATCTTTAAGTACATAGTTTCATCAAAAAGAAAATGATTCTCCAATATGCCACACATCAAAGACAGCTAATTACATTAGAGTAGCTGATTTCTTAGAACTGGAAGGAGCAATACTGATTACTCAGTTTGTATTTCTTCAGTTTTAGGGATGAAGAAAACTACAGGAAGTTAAGTGACATTCCCACTATCACACAGATACAGTCCATGCAAGTAAATCATGAAATATCTTTATATAAACCTAAACCCTGGTTTTTTTTGTATTTTTCTACTCTGAGATTTGCCAGATTATTCATGACAATGACATAATAGGAAAATAAGTGACATTTTAAGACTTCACTAGTTACTGAGGTTTAGATATAATAATACCTCATAACATCTAAGGTTCTTTGAGACAGGGCCTTGCTTTAGTTCAGGCTGGCCCTGAACTCACTATGTAACCCAGGCTAGCCTCGAAATCGTGGCGATTCTCCTCCCTCAGCTTCCACAGTGCTGAGATTACAGGTGTACTCCACCATGCCCGGCAACATCTAAGTTAAATAAGATTATCTTTTACCTGTTCTTAGAGGGTCCAAAAAGAAGAAGAACTTCCTAACTGCTGTACAAACATAAAAGGAGTAAAAGGATTTTTCCAGCCCATCTAATTGTGGCAAAGTAGGGATAAGTTCCAATATGTAGTTTTCCAAATCCTGAAAACAAAACAAAATTTGAAATGTTAAATGTCTGATCTTGCTTCTTCATTAGACACTATAATATATAATTTCAGTCCTAAAAATTCAGATTAATACTATATTGATAATTAAATTTCATGACGATGTCAGTGGTGAAACTTTTATATTAAATTTTGTTTCTAATTTGCTATTTAAATTTTAACATTTTAACATAAGTAATATATTCTACATAGTTCTAAATTCAAAAGGAACAAAAAGATACTCATTAAAAAATCTCCTCTAGGGCCGGGGATTTGGCTCAGTGGTTTCGGCGCCTGCCTCACAAGTGCAAGGTCCTGAGTTTGATCCCCAGTACCAAAAAAAAAAAAAATTAGAAGATGCAGACACAACTCCAGGGATTTAGCTCAGTGGCAGCACGCCTGCCA